GAAATGATTATCTTCAGCAAGAAACTAATAAAGTGAAAATGCTAATTGGTCGTCCTGTATTTGCACGAAAATTGACAAAGAAAATGTTGTTGCCATTAAGAATACGCGTCAACCATTACTTTAAAAAATCAAAACTTATGGTTGAGTCAAGCAGCAAAAGAAAACGTATGACAAAATTATAATTTTTATCAAGAATAAACATTATATTTGGATTTTACAGATTGGAAAAGAAGTTCGATGATATTATTAGGTACATACGTTCGAGACTTGACTATGGTGAGAAAAAGGTGAAAAATTTGCTTTATTTTTTTTAAAGAAAATCAATCTTATCAATGTAGGATCTCCTTCGCTGCATAAAAAAGTACCATCATGGGAAACTAACAGATGCGAACTTGATCAATAAATTTTACAAGGGTGTAGGTGTGGATATGAGTGTTAATTGGGAGTAGGCTAATATCTATAGCCACACCCATACCCACTTCCCGCTCACACTCTTTTACTTGAAGCTTTGGTGAAAATAAAACATTATCTCGTCAAATTTATAAAATATTGACAATAGATAAAATAGTGACAATGATTTCTCTTCAAATTAGACTTATAATTCGTTAATTTAGAATTCGATACGTATTAGTGCGAAGAATAATACCCATACAAGAAAAAGAAAACTTTATTACTAGTCGTGCACTTACATAGGGTTGTAATAATTTGAGTTATCTAATGAAGAATATCAAAGAAAAGAGAAAAAATAATACTGCAGCTTTTCATTGGAATGGATTAAGTAATTTATAGAAAGATGCTTCAATTATTTTGAGAAATGCAGTTTGCAAGGATCATGCGAAAATATTTTTATAAATTGTAAACTGTCTTTTTTCCAATAGTATATTAAGAAGGAAAACTAGAACTTTGCTTTCGGTTTTAGATAGAAATAACTGTACAAATGAAGACTTCATTCCAGGGTGTGGGTGTTGAAGAAGCGAAAACCAACCCACACCCACACCTAAATGGAGCAATTGAGCAAAATTATAAATTATTTGTAAACAATTTTATTGTAATATTTAATGGAAATTCAATATTAATTGAAGAAACAACTGCTTCATTAAATACGGAATTTGTTGAAAAATCTTTGAGAATCACTTTAGCGAATTTCTGAAAACACATTAGTTCTTTATTTGGGAGAATCAAATATTCAGATTCACTTTACTTTTTCGAAATAGCAGCAAGAGATCATTCAAATAAAAAGGCTTATCGTGGTTAATATATTTATATTTATCTGTCTATTTAAATTAATCTTTATCTTATTTATTATCGATTATTATGTATTTCATTACTTTAATCAAAACAATGCATTAAAAAAACAGAAAATCATTCACAATCAAAGAACAACTATAATTATCAATTTATCTTAAACAATGTCAATGATACTCCAAAATTACTGACGTTTAACCTATTACTTGAACAAAACCATTATGATGGAATAGACATGATGACAAACTCTCAGCATCTTCTCAATCATAATTCAACATTTTCTCTTATATTTCATCGAAGAAACCTCATTAATATTACTCTAACGAATATATAATAAAAATGATCAGATTTGACAATTTCATGTTGTTGAAAAAGATTGTTATCAGATTGAAAATGTAACATTGTGTTAAAAAGCATATTGAAATCTGGCATGATGAAATGAGTAACAAAGCAAAGTAAAAACTCTTGAAGAAAATGATGATCCAGGCTAAAAACAACACCGATTGACATACTTTCAATCCAATATTCAACGAAAAGGATATATTCGTAAGTATGTGTGCGAAAATTAAAAGGAAGGACTTAATAAGTCTAATATATTTTCTTTTTATTTGGGGAGTTAAATCTGTGTAATCACGTCGTTTGCGTCAAAATTTACTGTTTGTTATATGTACTAATGATTATCACTAATTTCGTATCTTTCTTTTTCTTTAAAAGTTGTACTGATAGGACTTGATTGGTCATCTGCTATTGCAAATAAATATATATAGATATATTCGTATTAGCGAACCTTGATTTTGTTGTTCTGTTCAATCATCAATTTCTGCGCAAATTTCTATTATCAGATTTCGACATGCTTTTTAACACATGGCTATTTTGTCAATCTGAGGATAATCTTCTTCAATACATAACATTATCAAATCTGATCATTTTTATCGAAAAATGTTTTTACTCGTGTCAATGTAAAACGGAGTGTGGGATGTGAATGGGTGTGGATGTCAGCGTTGGTGTGAGTATTTTTCTGCACCTTAACACCCACATTCACCCATACGCACATCTACACCCACACGCATACCTACTCCCACTCACATCTTTGAGGATTCAACCGTTTCGTTAGCGAATAGCAGCGAATATTTGCAGAATCCTAATCATATCTGTCAAGGATTGGGTGCTGGGGCATGAAAGATTTTCCCTCGGATAAGTTCTGTATATACTATAATTTATCAATTGGAAGGTACGCCTATGTTAAACTAATAGAAAAAATAAAAGATAAAACGTTATCCTGATAATAAATATATATATATATATAGAGTTCGAATAGACAAACCTAAATAAAATCCATCAAAAAAGCAAAAGATAAGATTTTATCTTAAGAATAAATATATATATGATTCCAATTGAGACACTTAGATGTAAGTCTTGGCAAAAAACAACAAGTAAATGTTTATCCTGATTATAAATCTAGATAATTCGAATTATGACACCTACGTAAGTCTGAAAAAAAGTAGAAAATTGTGTATCAATTATAATTCATAAATTGGATAGCATACAAATCGTTGCCTACGTGAATGAAAGTTTTTAACTAAAATCTGACAGACACGAAGGCAAATGCTACAAGCATTACCTCATATTCCACGAGTATAACTTAAGTGAGCATTGTCGTCAGTGGAACTTTTATGGAGGTGTCCTGAGTTGCTAGCAGTATAATATGGATTGCAACTGCCATACCTGAATTGCTATCGAAATGATCTTTGAAACACTACTATTATCAACTAAGATGTTACTTAATAAATATGAGATGTCACTGGTGTCTATGGAGTAACAATCCTCATCACCTTTGCTTGAAGAAGATTTAGCTTAGATATCAAAAGCGTCCTGACTACTTGTCGATTATTAGTAAAGGTTATTCCAGTAGTACCACAAATGCTACTGGTGTCGGCTTGGATGGTTTAAGCATGTTTAAAGAAGTCTTAGGGAGCATTTTCTTATAGAAAACGATGGAGTATTATTCTTTTCATGTTCTGATGAAAACCAGTTCTAACCTGCTATGAGTAGCTTGAAATTTATCCATCGTGACTTCATTCAAGCTGTATCACTTTTGATATCATATATTATGCATAGAATCGCCCAAAAAGCTTCTCCCGCATAACTGCCGTTCTATTTCAGCGTCGCGATCTGGGAATCCGGAATGCCTCCTGAAGACCCGTGATCCCCGGATATATCTGTGTACACAATAGTTCTCGGGTGTCATTTCGAATGATGCTGGTAACACATTCGGCAACAACGTTATCATGCAAACCCTTCATCTATAGATGCTATGCTGTTGTCATTACTGAAGTATCCCATTTGCCTATCCTAGAAATCGTGGTTATTGGTATAGCAGCTCTTGATATACCCATCGCGTTCTAGATAGTAACTTCAGTTGACAATGTATTATTCGTAGTATTTCGCCTGAGACCTGCAGCATTCTATCTGCTACACGTAGCAAGTAGAAGCATTCTGGTAACATCCAAGTTAATATCTGTGGAAAAAGCATCGACTGTAATAGTCTTCAAGGTAGTACTACAAGCACTCCTGTTGATAAGAACAGTGTTGCGCATAAAATCCTTAGCCACCATGGTATGTACCTTCAACATCTTCGGTAATATACAAACCATTCAAAGTAGTGTCTCTAGCGTTCCATGTGCTACATGTGCTGTCGCACCTAGCACCTTCCGTGTAGAAGGCAATATCTGTGCAAGTTCAGAAGATGTTTATTACATGACAACGCATTGCAATACTTGATTATCAGAAACCAGTTTTGAATAGCTGGAATGAAATTTCAGATTTCACTGTACTATTATGACTCTGGCTTCAAACACCGAGTATCCAATGCGTCCTAATGTTTATCTTGCGTCACTTACATTTTACCTTCGTGGATTACCATAATAAGCGAGTAAAAGACTTAGATAGAACTCTTAACTCGAGATTACATGTATATTTTTAGTTCATGTATATTTTACACCTGTAAGAAATATTATTTACATGGTATACATTGATTAATCATTCTATAGCAATTAATGATGACTAATGCCTTGAATTCAGTCGGAAGCGATAATGTCTTCTCCCACGTGAGGTTTATCGGAGTCTGGATGACTGAATTCGGTCAATACTGATGATATTCATTGATAAGGTTTCGTCGTCTTACCCGTGTCCAAGAGTAGTCGCAAAAATAAAAAACGGAATAATATGTCTGTAGTATTCTATAAAAGCTATTTGAGGAAAACAAAATTCCTTCTCTAGTATATTATTACTTCATCTGTGTAACCGGTAAGCAGAAACTAAGCAGTTCAAGTGCTGCGAAGAAATGCGTTTTTCTTACATTCCATAATATTTCATTACTTTAGTTACTCTTAATGATTCATAGCATGAGACACCAACATCTAAGCTTCAAGTTTTCGGTATCGGTACATGCCTAGGTGCAACTGAAATTTTCAGAAAATATCAATCTCAGCATCCATTATAGGATCTTGCTCGATCATGTACGTTCCATAGTGAGTGATTAACTTTCTTGAAGATTCAGTTGTTATTGTTGTAAATAAGTTCAATGTGTAAGATTTTCTTTTGAACATTTGAAAATGATTAATGGAAAAAATATCAATTTTAGTATTTCTTGTCGTCGAAGATAAATATTTCATATTACATATTTACTCAAATTAAAATAGTCTTCATTGTATTCAATAATGAAGACAATCGTGTTATTGTGATTAATTGCAGTCATGTCTACTGAAACCCGTTTTGATCATGTGCGACAATATTTGGTGCAAAATGCGGATGAAACTAAGAATAGACTACAGAACACAAATTGCTTACAAAATAGCAATACAATTGGACTTGGCTATAATCCATTATTAGGGAGTCCTGTTTGTTATAGTGGTCATTGTCAATATGATGGTTTTAAGCGTTCAATATTTAACTTAACATTTGCACAACCGACATCGGGTTCACGTATACCAAAATTAATTTCGAATAATGTTGAGTTATATTGCTTTTCGAGTTCTGGCCTATCAACAACTACTGAAACAATTAATACATTAGAACAGCTATCTAAATCAACATCAAGTAGTATCTCATTCGGAGCAGATGTCCAATATAAAATGTTTTCAGCGGGATATAATTAGTCAAAGGAAACACGCTTTATGATTGATCACTTAATAAGACAAAACATCACGTCTATGTTTACAACTGCGAAAGTTATATTTGAAAAGCTATTAATGTTTGAACCATTTATAGACCTATCTACTGCTTTTCAATATGTCATAAAACAAATGTCATGTTGTCGATATGATGCGACATTGGAATAGTATATTCAAGAGTTTATTATCAATCATTTTGGTTTTACTTTTGTAACTGAATTAATGCTAGGTGAAATAGTACAACCAACACTGTTCATTGCAAACAACGACATTTAACAAATGCAACAAAATGGACAGAATGTCTCACATTCAGCAAATGTCGGATTCTTTATTAATTTGAATATGCAAGTTACCTACTCGTATGCTCAAAAGAAACAAGAACAGTTTATGCAATCAGTGAAAGTATCATGTTCAACAAAATTAGGTGGTGGCCCATCGATTCGAAACATTAGTGAATGGATGAAATCAGTATCCTCAAATCCAGTAGTTTTGAGTAGTACCGTAAAAGGTATAGTTTTCTGTTTTTGAAGTTCAAATCTCCAGCTTACAAGTCACCTGTTCACCTCTGAGGCGTTGTAGACAACGAATGCAAAGACATAACACCAGCGGATAAGAATCTATTTTTGGCAGTAAACTCTAGCCGTCCTATTCTATAGTGGAATGTAGAATATAAAATCTAAAAAGCATAGTTACTGGAAGTGTGAAAATTTGTGTCTATATGAATATGAGCCAGTTTAGTAAAATTAAACAAATAGCAGTTGAGTTTATTCTCTCAGCCTTGTTCAATAGCATCCTTGTTTATCTGTAATATTGATCTGATATTCAAAATTAATCCCTGTGAAAACGATATCCAGCCTTCCTCGTCGTCTGTTTTCAGTGCAGTCTCGATTACTTGCATGTATTGTGAATCAGAATGGTCGTTCAGCAGGTATATTTCTTGTTTTCAATTTGTCATCATTTAGCAATGCTCCTTCTTCTCTGCAGTTATGTTTCATATACTCGTATTTTGACAGAAGAGAGCAGATATAGCAACTTTAGTTTTTCACAAGAGCTACGCTACGTTAATGCGATTCATACCTATCATTCGTCGAGATACTTTATTATTTCTGAACTTTGTAAACCTATAACAATAAACGCACTCGTAAGTAAAACACCAGAAATCAGAAACAAAGAACTTGGTTGCGGCTACTCAGCGCTCTCAAGAGCGAATATTCAAGTGCTAGACGTCGCCTGTACTAAACCAGTATCTTGTCATTCATAGCTTCTTTACTCAAAAGGAATTTGCTCTTATTAATCTGTGTTTTTTTGTTTGTGTAGGTATTGTCCATTTGTTGAATGGTAAACAATTTCCAGACGATCCATTAATTCGAAACGAAGATCAACTCATTAGCATGGCTACATAACGTTATCTAAATAATAGAACCCCATTTTGCTATAATAATTGCACAAGGTTGAATCATGGTCGATGTGATTCCACCAACTCATACTTTTCATTTGGCAGATGTACATGCCGACCAGGCTGGATAAACATAGATTGTTCACAGCAAGATCGCAAGACATATGAGATTACACCTGAAGGAGGTCTGTGGGGAAATGAGAGAGACTGGGCTAATCGTCCTCAGTATACATGGGTCATTAGGTTTCGTCAACGCGTTGAAGCTCCTTGTGGCAAATGTGATGATACAGCTCTGAATTCATTAGAACTAAGTTGTGCAAACGCTGATCATGTCCGGGTGACAAACATTAAATCATATGATGGTAGATGGGGTACATGGGATAGTGCCCAATTCTGCAATAGAAAAGGGAACTTTTTGCGAAGTATACAAGTTCGTGTTGAAAAAAAAGCAAGGCAGGGGCGATGATACATTAGCAAATGATAGTCGATTTACTTGCACGAGTGGACAAGTAATTCAGGCGTCAAATGGCGCATCCTGGGGTGATTGGAGATTAAGAGCTGATTCTTCAGCATCTTCAGCAATGTGTGGATTTTTTAGTAAAATTTGAATCATCACAAGGCAGAGATGACGACACAGCTATGAATGGTGCTCGATTCAGGTGTTGCTTCACATATTTATAACACATTATGGCTTAAGGATTAGTCTCTTAATGCTGATTAATAACTATTTTTCAAATGTTTCTTTTTTATTTCACTTATTGGCTTTGGGCAAAATACTTTTCAAATATGAATAAATCTATGTAGTAAAACTGCTTTTTTGTGGATATATGTCTCCAATTAGACATGTACTAAACTCGAGCTCAACTTCGAATTTTGATACCGAGCTTTGTGGGTTTGAGCTCCATTGGAACTTGAAGATATATGCTCGACTCGATCGAGCTGGAACTCAAAAGCTCAAGTTCAACTAAAATTCGCACACCTGGGCGAATTTCATTCGTATTGTACTGTTGAAACTAAAAACAAAAAAAAATGCACATGGGAAACATTCGAGTCGCATACTCGATAGAGCTTTATTGGTTACACATAAATCAAATGCTTTCACAACTAAGAGGTTTTCCTTTTGAAAAAGAAAACGAGTCTTCTAAAAAGGATGATTAATTTACGTGACTTTTTGGTGAAGTAATATTCCTCAAAAAAACGATGTTTTCAAGGTTTGTTTGGAGAATAGCTTCTAAAATAAGATTTATATATTGTTATCATATGTCAATCGAAATCTCTTGAAAAGAAGAATCTAATAGGCGTATGGATATCTTTATCCATAAATATGGGCGCATGTTTCAAGGATATTAAAGCGACGAAGACACTCCAACTGTCATTCTCTCACCTCTCTCGGGCTTCTTGATGGTTCAAAATACTAAGAACTATTGGTAATACATATGGAAACTTTTCTCAAGGTGAGAGGAATTGGTCAACCTGAAATAGTCTGTGGGGCATTTCCGTACTAGAAATCTGGTCGAACATTTTCATACGAAGAAATCTGTCGGGATATTTTTAGTACAAAATGTTTTCTCGTGAACGACATAGTTTTAAGAGCTGAAATTTTAACCACAGTTCTAAAGTAAAGCTTGTTAAAAACGGCGAAAAATCGTTGATTGATAAAATTTTTTCTTTTCTATTAAAATCTTACTAAAACAGGTTGTTTTAACAGAAGTAATACACCATTTTCTTCAGTTTTTGATGGCCTTTTTAATGGTGTATTTGAAAGTTAAAAATGAATAAAATTTTTCGATATTCTTTAATTAAAATTAATTAAATATAATTATTATTAACTAATTAAAACTAATACTATTGAAAAGTGCTTTCTACCGAGAGAGAGCCCATTCAATTCTGTATCAATTGATGTATGTGTCAATTTGTTTAAATAAAATCACTACGTGAAAAAATGTACAATACTGCAAAACACTAGACATGCCTTAAATTTATATTCGCTGGGATAAAATTGTATTCGTCATAACTAATCCAAAACATATCTAAATTTGACAATTTTTCAGGTTACATGTATGTCCCTCACTTTTTCTTCAAGAGAATATTCTCGAATATTACTTGTACTTGTCTTTGTTTTTATAATTGATAATTGAAAACATACTGATGGAATAAAAGTACATCAATTGTTGCCAAAACACTTATCAAAAGAATAAAAAAATTATTTTCTCTGTTAAATATTTGAACATGATGAACATTAGACATCAACGAAAACCATGATAGAAATGGAAATGATAATTACAATAAGGATAAACACAAGGATAGGAACAAGAATGTGGACAAAGATGCTGTCAACAACTAGAGATGTAAGCCGTGCGGCTTAGCCGCCGCCGCCGTACCAAAGAAAATTTTAAAAATCTTTCAGCCGCCGCACGCCATCTAGAATGAAATGAAATTCTTTTTAATCCTATATTCCATTGGCTGCATTTTCAACTGATCTTTTTTGTTGTTTATTTGATGAAATAATATTAAAAATGTTATGGATTTTTGTTTGATTTGATTTAAAATATATTTAGATCTTTCACCTGAAATGGATAATATTAATTATTTTCTCAAAAATCTGTTTATTCAAATAAAACCCCCTAATACTTATAAACCATCATTTGTATGGAATTATTTTGGTCGACTGTACAAAAAAACCAAATGAAGCAATAGATCTTGAAAAATTTTATTGTAAAATATGTTTTGATAAATTTAAAAGTGAAGAATCTGATACTGTTTTTTCTTCCGTTCAAAAAAAAATTGAAGTTTACAGTGCAACAAGTGCCACTGGGAATATGAAGAGTCATTTATTAGCAATTCATCGAATATCAGAACCCCAACAAACAAAAACAACCAGTCAACACATTCTTTCTATGTTTTCTCGAGATCATCATTCACAAAAAGCTTCTCAATTAAAACAGCAACTTGGACATCAATTAACATTAATGTGTTGTCGGGATTTGCTTCCATTTTCGATTGTTGTAAATGAAGGTATGGATATTTTTTTTAGCAATCTAATATACATATATTAAGTTTATTTATGTTTAGGTTTTCAAGATTTTCTAATTTGTAACGAAATTGTTAATTCAAAAGAAGATATTCCTTCAAGAACAATCTTATCTCCTATTAATTTAAATAAAATATATGATGTATGTGTTGAAAGAACAAATGAACAATTAAAATCGGCATCACCATTTCCAACAATAACATGTGACATTTAGTGTGATAAATATAAACATCGTTCTTATATTTGTTTTACAATTCATTATCTTGATTCAAATTTACATTTGCACAAATATAGTTTAAAAACACAACCATTTGATGGACGACATACTGGAGAAGCTATAAAAGATCGTTTTTTTAATTGTTTTAAATGAATTCAATTTAAGTTCAAATAATATAATTGTTGTAAGTAAAACATACATAGAATTTTTCTAAATTATTTTATTTCATTGAATTTTTTTAAACAGATATCTGATAAAGGTTCAAACATGCGTAAAGCATGGAAATTATTGAAAATAATTCATATGTTTTGTATTGGACATGGAATCCACAATTTATTAATGGTTGATTGTTTTCCTCGTTTAACTGGTGTTCCAGATTTATTAGATAAAGTACAGAAGATAATCAATAAACTTCGTTATCGTCAACATGAACTTGAACAAGAATTTATTCGAATACATGATCAAATAAAAAATGATTTATTTGAAGTAATAAATAAGGCTGGTGAAGTATTAGATGCTGATTTAGCATTATCATATGATGATATAGAAGATGTTGATCAATTGGACAACGAAAAAGAGAATTATGAATTAGAATTATATTCAATCAATGATCAACGTTCATCAAAATTTGATTATTTAAAAAAAACAAATACAACTACTAATAATTCTTATGAGTTTCATACTTTGAAAAAACGTGTTGTAACTCGCTGGAATACAATTTTGATCATGCTTCGTTCATATGAATCCAATATACCTGGTATTGAAATTATATTACGTCGTTTAAAATTATTTCATTTGATTTTAACTCCCACTGAAAATGAAGTTGTTCGTGATTTAGTTGATTTTCTTAGTTCATTTGAAACAACCACAACTATTCTTTCAGCATCCAAATCTTATCCAACAATGAGCTTATGTTTATTACTACGTATTGTAAGTATCATATATTTAGATTGGAATAGTGCTGAATGAGAATTAGCTGAGAATTTTTGAGATCACAGTATAAAAAAATATTGATAACAATCCTATGTATTTTCTTTTATAAAATAAAAAAAAAATTATTTTAAAATATAACATTTATGAAGAAATTTAGCTTATTTAATATTTATATACATTTAATTGATTTTTTATTTCAGGAAATTGAATCAATGTTGCATTCAACAGGAACAGAATCATCAGTAATTGAAGAATTGAAACATTTATTTTCCGAATATTTAGATACAAGATTTCCAATAACACCATTAAATATATGTGGTTTTTTACTTGATCCATCACAATTAAAATTTGATATTAATCGTTATTTAACTCAAAATAAAACAACAAAAGAAAAACTTTTGTTGGATATGATTAAAAAATTTAAAATTGATCATGCTTCACATGCAAATACAATACAAAATATTCATAAATCATCAATGTCTTCATCTGCAACTACATCAGAAACATCATCTCATATGAAACGTAACTTATCGGTGGAATATATGTGTGAATCTGCACATAATATGAAGAAACTTAGGGATAATTTAATCCAAAAACATACACCATTGCTTATAATCAGTCTTGATCCTATTGTTGCTGAAATTGATAGTTATATAAAGTTAGATGTTGTTTGTGTTGATGTTCTTGAATTTTAGAGATCATCTGGTGATAAATTCTATCATTTAAAAAGACTTGCTCAAATTATTTTAGGAATACCAGTAACATCTACACCTAGTGAAGAAGTCTTTTCTACCACGGGATTAATTTTAAATGCGAAACGAACAGCATTAGCACCGGAAAATGTTGGTAAAATACAAATGATTCACGACAACTATGAATTACTTAAAAAAATTAATATATTTTTTTTGTTTTTTTTATCATTATTACGTTTTTTGTGAACATGTGATTGTCAGTATATTATTAACATTTACTTTTTTGTATGAGTTGTTTTATGTATGTGTTGTTTTATGTATGTAAATTTCTCTTTTTTGAAGATATTGAAATTCAGATATGAAAACTGAGAGAGGAGGTTGTGGTGAAATTAGGAATGATGCTGGACACGAATTGATGATGGTACTGAGGTCAGGACTGCATTCAAACATCTATCTTGGACTAGGAAAATTATTATAGACATGAAACGCGATCGGAACTCCCGTTACAAGCCAATATTTTCTTTCATATGTAGAAGAAATGTCTGAAGCTTAGCCGTACCCGAAATAACATTATTAAGCATATCGTTATTTATAAAACGATAATATTTTATTTATGCTTTACAGCGATGACAAAATTTAAGCCGTGGTATAGTGCACATTTTTTCCAACAATCGATTTATTTTTTTACGTCACCTCATCGACAAAGCTGTTCGAGCAGTAAATGAGAGAACAAGCAAAACAGCTATAACGTAAGCGAAAAAAAATCTCAATAATATATGATAATGGGCTATTGCATGTGCATGGATGAATGCGCAAATGCAAACTTATTTTTGGATGCATAGATAGGTAATATAATGCTTTCATTTTTTTTGCATAACGTACTTTTGATTTAGTGCGCCATTATTCTGCTCGTCGTTAATACAGAGGATTTCGCAAGAATACAGTGATCAAGCGTAAGTTTCCTGAAATTACATTCTTTTTAGAAGATCTTATTCATGGTCAGTATCTAAGAGAATTTTGTATCCTTAAATATTACTACTAAGCTTCTACAGTATTGGTTTCATATCATATTAATTATTATTCTATTGATAAAAGTGTTTAGAAGTTTCGTACTCAATGAACTGGAGATATCAATTATTGTAAAATCACTTTTCTCAAGACACGTTTGTAGAAGGAGTTGTCAGTATGTTTTGAGAGTTTTATCGTAGAAAAAATCTCTTCATCATTGTACTCTTTTACCATTTGAAAACAGTAGAAATCAACGAAAATCAGATATGATATAGAAGAAAAAAAAAGTGTTGCAAGGATTTTTTGTGAAAAGAGTTGTTTTCAATTGAGTTTTTGGTGTTTCTATCTAATGCAAAATTTTCTCCTTACTTTGAATCATATTTTTTAGAAATTCAGCTAACAATTTTGATTCCAAAGTGAATAATGAATTGTATAATGATTACGACTGAACCTGTTTCACGGATTTTTCGACAAAAGTCGAATCTCTTTATCTTTTGATCCAAACTTTTGCAGGCGGGCATGTCTCATCGTTACTCGGTTACATTGTAAATCTCATCCAAATGGATGCTTCTGTGACAAAATAATTTTTCAAGTAGATCAGATGTTTCCCATCTTTTACTGATAAAATATGAATTCTTATAGAACTTAATATCTCAAGGTGAACAGATATTTTTGTAATGGTTGTTTTTGAGACATTCTGGTAACGATAAGATCTATTCGTATGCAACTTTTCAGATCAAAAACAATTCACTGACCTTTGAAATACTGGATGGCGCAAATGAATTATACAGTAATTCAAAAAACTGGATTTCAAAATAGTTCAAAACTTCTGTATCCTATATATATATTTGTTTACTTATAGAAATGTATTTTATAGGGTCTTGTAGGGTCCAGCAGGGTTTACGAGGGTCTCGAGGCGGATGTCGCTAAGCAACTTACACGACGTCTCTCTCGTTGTGGGTGCCACACAATCATGGCAAATTCTATCAGATTCTGGTAGACCCGATAAATCCTACTAGATCATAGTAGACTTCAGTAGACCCTAATAGATCCTATAGAGTCTAGTAGAGCCTAATAGACTTTAGTAGATTATAGTAGACCTTATAGATCCTAGTCGACTCTACAAGATCCTACTAGACCCTATAGACTCTAGTGCATCTTACTTTGTCTTCTAGAATTGGACATAAAAAATGATCTAAACATAGACATGTATTTCAATTTAAACATACAGATATGTATACATAAATATGTATCCATGTATCTGGGCGTGGCCAACGGGCCTGATACTACATTTTGATACAGTCATATTGCAAGGATAAAACATACTATTGTCCAAGTCATATGACAGAAGGCAGATAATCCTGAATTGGCCTGAACAACATCATGTTTTATCCTTACAATAGTAGAGAAAAGCTACTAGCTCAAACAATAAGCTAATAGCTTTTCTCTACTATTGTAAGGATAAAACATGATGCTGTTCAGGTCAATTCAGGGTTATCTGCCCTCTGTCATATGACATGGACAATAGTATGTTATATCCTTACAACAGGACTGTACCAAAATGCGGTATCAGGTCGATTGGCCACGTCGATCTGTATATAGATAATGCGTATGATACAAAATTTTGAATTATTTTCGAATTCATTTGTCTCATGAACTCTTTTCAAAATGCCTTCAAAACGTTGACATTGTTTGATGAAATATGATTGAATAATTAAAAGATAAGACAAAAAATTTCATTAATCATTTTATTTTTTCAAAAATAATACATTGAAGTTTTTGACACCTTCCATACGGTGATTTTCAACACTAAAGTTTAATTAAAGTATTTTTCTAATATATGTACGAAGAAACAACAGTTTTTTTCCTATTCTTTTCTAGTCTTTTCTTAGTCAAAAACTTCAATGTATTATTTTTGAAAAAACAAAATGACTAATGAACTTGTTTGTCTTACCATTCCAAAATACCTTCAAACAGCTCAAGAAATGTTGACCATAAAACGGTCATAATCGTAATAGAAAAGAATACCTTCAATTCCAATATCTTATCTCGCCAACCCAACGCTCATGATGCTTTCGCTGTCTATTATCCAATAATGAATGGTACATTTTTTCTATGTTTTTATTTCAGAAAAATGTGTACTAAATGGATGTTAGTCGGACGTGAAACATTTGTTGGTCTACGTTTACATGGGCTTTTCATTAGTGCCATCGTTTTATTGGTCTGTTTATTCATCAAAAATGTTAATGCAAACGGTATGCAGCATTATAAAAAAGGCTTATTAACTCTCTTTATCCGCTAAATCGTCAATAATACTATATTTTGAGCCATTAGTGTAAATATATAACTTAGCTTATAGTTATAGTTATTGATAAGTGAGTTTCACTTCACCTATTGTATCATAGATGAAACGATATACACATGATCGGACGACCAAAACCGACTCTTATATTACACAACTGCATTTGAATCATTGAAATATATTGGCAAAATAGATCTCGTACATAATAGTTTACTTTTTTATATAGTTTTCCTAGCTTTCGTAGTTCTTCTTCAAAAAAAATCTCAATCACAAGATTTGCAATTTCGGAGTCATACAGTTCATCATAAATATTACACTTTTCGAGTAAATCTGGAATTACCACGATCTATCTTACATTCAGATGAATGACTTTCTAGCTTAACGATGAACTCTCATGAATGACCTTCAGATGATGCACAGATTTCTATTCCAAAGAGATTGAAACTTGCGATGTACTATAAGACTGAGAAAAAGCTGACATTCATTATCATATGTTCTCAGATTATAGGTAAAATGAATAAATGTTTCAGTAGATTGAAACTTTCTATAAGTAACTCCTGACTATGACTTAGATGAATGCTTGACGGGAATCGTAATTTGTGATTTAAATTTCTATGATGTTAGATTCCTGAAATTTTATGATAGACGTTATACATTATCGTGTGAAATGATCTTAACAACTGATACTTCGTCAGACCTATCATCTGTAGAGCACAGATTGTTTAATTCATATCTTTGGGTAAAATAGAAGTGGGTCAGAAATTGAGGTTACTCGAATTTCTCCTTCAGAAAGGCAGCTAAATTCAATCCTGAAAGTTTTCTTAAAGTAGCAAAGAATTACAATATTCGAGTGCGATAAATTTCACAGAATTCACTCTTACTGATCGAGAGAAATTCATCTAATAATGTTCACTGATGTTTCTAACAAATTAATTAACATATCGCTGTAAGAAAATTTTTCAACACTACTTTTATTTTCCACGAATGAGTTATATATTTTGAATGAAGGCTCAAATTAAGAATGAAAACGATGTATAGTGGTCGAAATACACTTTTCAAATACATGTCCAGAGCCAACTGAGTTTGATTTGAGTTTCTTGTCATAATTGAATATTTCAACAATATTGCCATGTTCTTTTGCAAGCAGATTCAATGAGTTATCCTATAGGTCTTGCCTTAACATGATTTCACCGAATTCGTTCAATCTAATGCTATAAGTCGAGTAACTTCGATAACAGACAAGACAGTTTGATTCATATGTACGAGCAGCTGTTAAAGTTGCTATAATATTTTTCATCCATTTTTTTTTGTACACGAAAACTTAAAAAGCATAAATAACCCTGTAAAATACCGAAACCACATTGGAAACATTCAGCTGTACTAGTTTCTCGATCAAGATGAACGAAAGTTGCTATATTGATTGCTCTCGAGCTACTGATTAGTCATTAGATAACTTCTTAGGATAAAAATAATAAAGTGCACATTTTCAATAAAGAACATAGAAAAGTGCCATGATCATATAATGAAGAATCTGTTCCGATTTTTCAAAATGACCTGAGAAAATGTATTCTTACATTTCTCAAAATGAACATTAAGTAACTGAACAACAAGGACTATTGATGAATGGAGTTTTTTCGTACTGCTCGCCTATAATTGCTGTTGATGTCTAGAGATGGATAAAATTAAAATTTTAAAGTTTGCTAGAATGTAGTAAGAAACTTGCGCTGTAGCATTGGCTTGTAGCATATATTATCTCAGATGACAACTATAAAAAAGAGATAATGGTTGAGCTTTTGTCTAATAAAGTCTGAAAAATAACTGCTCATTTCAATCATTCATTTTATATTGTAGACCCACTCGAAATGATACCATCAAGTTCTTCATTACAAATATGGCGCGTTCCTCGAGCCATTACAACGAAAGGTAATCACTATTA